CTCTACGGACCTGCTTTGGACGCAATCAAGAACTTTATCAAGACTTCTACTTCCTCCATGACAGCTGTTCCTAAGCCTCTCAAGTTCCTCCGACCGCATTATGATGGCCTGGCAGAGCTATACGAAAAATGGGTTCCAGGTCCTGTGCAGGTCAGTTTTGCAGCGCCCCATCGATTGCGTACGATCTAACAACATCCTTCTTATAGAACTCATTGGCTGATATGCTGTCGGTGCTTGGAATGACCTACGGAGACGAAGAGAAGCTGGAGACTATCAAATACCGCCTGTTGGCCAAATCGGAGGACCTTGGTTCCTGGGGTCACGAATATGTCCGGCATCTCGCACTGGAAATCGGACAAGAATATCAAAACCGGTTGAACGCAGACCAGGATACCCAGGATCTGGTGGACCTTGCATTGTCTTTGGTGCCCTATTTCCTGAGTCATAATGCCGAAGCTGATGCGGTCGATCTCATGAGTGAATTGGAAATCATTGAAGATATCCCCCAATTCGTTGACGAGAACACTTACGCACGGGTTTGCTTGTATATGGTCAGCATGGTTAATCTGCTCACTTACCCTGAAGATCAGCAATTCCTCCGAACCGCCCACGGGATCTATGTCCGCTACAACAAACTTTCGCAAGCCATTGTCCTCGCTATCCGGTTGAACGACACTGAGCTTATCAAGAATGACATCCACGCCACGACTGACATGTCTTTAAAGAAACAGATGGCCTTCCTTGTCGCTCGGCAGCAGATCTGGCTCGACCTTCCGGCTGAGGATGAGGAGGGAGAAGCCCTGGCTGATTGTCTCAACAACACTTCCATTCCGCAGCACTTCAAATCTCTGGCTAAGGAACTCAACATTCTGGACCCCAAGATGCCGGAGGATATCTACAAGACACATCTTGAGAGCAGTCGCGGAGCCGGCCTCACCAATCTTGATTCGGCACGACACAACTTGGCTAGCGCATTTGTCAACTCGTTTGTTAATGCCGGCTTTGGTAACGATAAGATGATGCTAGTGGAGGGTGATAAGGGCCCGTGGGTGTGGAAGACTAAGGATGATGGCATGCTTTCCACAACTGCGTCGCTGGGTATGCTGCTACACCGTGATGTTGATGATGGTCTGAATAAGATCGACAAGTTCACCTACGCGCAAGAAGACCAGGTCAAAGCTGGTGCACTGCTCGCTATGGGTATCCTAAACTCCGGTGTCCGAAGTGACGCCGACCCCGCTCTTGGCCTTTTGGGTGATCCAGATATTCTTGAGGGAAAGAACGTTCCGATGAAAGTTGCATCCATCATGGGTCTTGGTCTGGCATACGCCGGTTCTAATAGGGAAGAGCTGCTTGAGGTTCTCCTCCCGATTGTGGAGGACGCTTCACTAGACATGCAGCTGTCTGCCATGGCAGCAGTTTCTCTCGGTCTCATCTTTGTTGGTTCATCAAATCACCAGGTTAGTGAGGCAATCGCGACCACCTTGATGGATGAGGAGCGTCAGAAGCAGCTCAAGGACAAGTGGACAAGGTTCATGGCCCTTGGTCTGGCACTTCTGTACTTTGGCCGCCAAGAGGAGGTCGATGTCATCCTTGACATCCTCAAGGCAGTTGACCACCCCATGGCCAAGCCCACTTCAGTCCTTGCCTCAGTATGCGCTTGGGCAGGCACTGGTACAGTGCTCAAGCTACAAGAGCTTCTTCACATTTGCAATGACATCATTGAGGAGAAGGAGGAGAACAAGGGCGATGAGCTTGTTCAGTCGTACGCTGTGCTCGGGTTGTCTCTCATTGCCATGGGTGAGGATGTCGGACAAGACATGATTCTTCGCCAGTTTGGTCACCTCATGCACTATGGATCTCCCAACATTCGCCGGGCGGTTCCCTTGGCCATGGGCTTGATCAGCCCCAGTAATCCACAGATGAAGGTCTACGATACACTGTCCCGGTACAGTCATGACAATGACAACGAAGTTGCTATCAATGCCATCTTCGCCATGGGTCTCTGTGGCGCTGGCACCAACAATGCCCGTCTTGCACAGCTTCTCCGCCAATTGGCCAGCTACTACCACCGCGACCAGAACTCACTGTTCATGGTTCGCATCGCTCAGGGTCTTCTACACATGGGCAAGGGTACCATGACACTTAATCCATTCCACACTGACCGACAGGTCCTTTCCCGTGTCTCAGCAGCGGGTTTGCTTACTGTGCTTGTATCACTTATCGATGCCAAGCAATTCATCCTTGCCGAACACCATTACCTGCTCTACTTCCTCATTACCGCCATGTTCCCCCGATTCCTTATTACCCTCGACGAGGATCTTCAGCCACTCACTGTCAATGTCCGCGTCGGTCAGGCCGTGGACGTGGTTGGCCAGGCAGGTCGCCCGAAGACTATCACTGGATGGCAGACTCAGAGCACGCCAGTCCTCCTGGCACACGGCGAGAGAGCCGAGCTTGAGGATGAGCAGTACATTCCCCTGAGCAGCACTCTTGAAGGCTTGGTTATCTTGCGCAAAGTACGTCTCTTTATCCTTGGTCCAAATAGCGAGTACTAACAATTCTTCTAGAATCCGGACTACGAAAGCCCTGAATAAGCAAGCTAGACTAGATATTTCCCGATTTACATCCATTGCTCGCAACCAGCGGGACTCGTATAGTGGTCGGGTTATCGTTGGATCTAATGTATTCAGAACGAATGAAGAATAGCATGGATTTATTTTACAAGTTTTATATCTGTTTGGCTTTCACTGTAACTGCCTGGATTCATGAGTAGACTGAATATGTGAACCTTTATGGATGCGCACACTGAGCTCAAACGAGCTGCTTACTTTTCCTTTGTATTTGAGGTTCAACCATGACATTGTAGATTATCACATGATGCTATCTAACCAAAGGCGAAGCTATCAAGGTTCTCGGCCCAGATAGGAAATAGGGCTTAGGGCTAGGTTCTTATCAACTTTTTTCCTCCGTTGTATCGTTGGCTGGTCCGACTTGTTTTGAAGTTCTGATCTCCAACGCATCAATTTAGGGACATTGGAAGAACCTGAAACGCTCTTTCACTCCCTCGCAACCATGAAACTCGACGCTAAGGCTATTCGCTACCTCACCTCTGAGGATTTCCGAGTTCTTGCAGCGGTACTTATCAGCCCCTCTTGAGTCTACCCCGCGATTTTCTTTTTTTGGGGATATTCTATCGCGCATTCTTCATGAGCTAATCTGAGTGGATTGTTCTAGTGTGAAGCTGGTAGCCGAAACCATGAGGTCGTTCCAACGCCGTTGATCTCGCAGCTTTCGGGCCTCCGAGGCGGCAGCGGTGTCAATCGCGCAATCTCAAACCTTGCGAAAATCAACTTGATTGCAAAGGTCAAAAATTCCAAGTGTATGTATTACATTTAATGCTGCATCTTATCTTACCACTAATACAAGTATTCTGCTTATAGATGACGGCTATCGACTCGCATACGGAGGATTGGATTATCTTGCACTGAACGCGCATCAAAAGTCAAAAGTCATCTATTCGGTCGGCAACCAAATCGGCGTGGGGAAGGAATCAGACATCATTGTGGTGGCAGAAGCCAGCGGAGCGCAGCGTATTATGAAAATCCACCGTCTCGGCCGTATCTCGTTCCGAACAGTCAAGACAAACCGCGACTACCTACGACACCGCAGCTCAGCCTCATGGATGTACATGTCTCGATTGGCAGCAATGAAGGAATTCGCTTTCATGAAGGCTTTGCACGAGAACGGGTTCTCCGTCCCCGATCCAATTGCCCAGAACCGACACACCATCGTTATGAGTCTAATCGATGCTTTCCCTCTGCGCCAAATCTCAAAAGTCGCCGACCCCGCTGGATTATACTCGGAGCTTATGAATATTATTTTGGAGCTTGCACGATACGGTCTTATCCACGGTGATTTCAACGAGTTCAATATCCTTATCAAGGAAGAGCTGGCCCCCGAAATGAAAGGGAAAGAGCTCACCGAGGAAGAGGAAGATGAGCATATCCGGCTGGTCCCGGTTCTCATTGATTTCCCGCAGATGATGTCCGTTGACCACGTTAATGCTGAGATGTACTTTGACCGTGATGTGGAATGTATCAAGCGGTACTTTAGGCGCAAGTTCCACTTTGTGAGCGACTCAAAGGGCCCTACTTTCGCAGAGGCTAGAAAGTTGCTCGTCCAGAACCCTGGCAAGCGTTTGGATGTCGAAGTCGAAGCCACAGGTTTCTCGCGCAAAATGGCCCGTGAGCTTGAGACTTATATGGCAGATGTGGGAGTCAAAGGAGATGGAGAAGCCTCTAAGGATAGCGACGATGAAGAGGATGACGAGGCAGAATCTGGATCTGAAGACGAGGAAGGTGGTGCTCTTGATACCAAGTACTCCGAAGATGTCGATGACAGCACCAAGCGGTTAGAAGACCTTCGAGTCTCGGGATCATCGGAGTAGTAAAAGGAAATGATCTTGGGCTTTTTAATGACTATTTACGATGAATCAAGCATGTAATATAGGTTTCAAAATTTCCTATCAATGGATATCTTCTAGAATACCCAAACTTCTCAAAAATATCACTTTACACACTTCACACATTGTTCACTGCCTAATTCCATATTCTACGGAATGCTTCTGACCGTGCTAGTTATAATGCTAGTTAAGGCGAGAAAAGGCCTGAAAAGACTACCAGAAGACCATGAAAATAAACATGACCAAACCACATAAGCGCTGACTTTCCTTATACTTGATAAACTAAAAGCACAGTGTAATCAACTTCGACTCATTGCTGAACCTCCAACAGTGAGTATTATGTTGTTCACTTTTGGCGTATACTTGGAAGTCATGTGACCAGATCGGCCAACGCAGTTTTGATGGATCCGCAAGCACCTCCAACCCCCAGATTCCTCCACTCAACAAACACAATGGTGCGTCTCAGCAGTGTTCAAGCGAAAGCGCTGCGCCGCCTGCAGAATCAGGCTGGAGTTCAGGAACCCCCGAAAACCAAATGGCCCAGCGTCGTCGGCAAGCCCGTCTACCTGTACGTTGCCCAAAATTTCCAGGAACCCGAACTCGGCTCGACCAAAACAGCATCTCAGCAGACTTGACCGGCTCAATCGGTCATTTGCCAGAAGAACAAAAAGCAACGGAACTAATATCTCGCTTCATTAGACCTCAATTCCGCATCGCTCTCGTCCGAACCCCAAACCTCACCCCCGATATGCTCAATTCCGCGTTCCCCTCAACTTCAACAAGTTCGATCTCCGCAGCTACCTATGGCACTTGTACGGAGTCGGAACTCTCAGCATCCGCAGTTACGTCCAGGCACAACCAATCACACGAGTCTCGCGCGATAACAAGGGTTTCGGCCCGTGGCGTCGACCTAAGTCGCAGAAGCGCATGACCGTTGAATTGAAGGAGCCCTTCGTCTACCCTACGCAACCGAAGGATCTGACCCCGTATGTGACGCCTCTCTGTAACCTCCTTGTCCTTTTCAACGTCATTTTCTTTCTCTTCCCTCTCTATCTTCCTAATACTACACCTGCACCAACCTAACTGAACATCGTAACTAACCAATTTCAACCAATAGATGGGAGCATGAAAGCTGGGCAAAGGCCGAGAAGTGGCAGATCGACATGCAAGAAAAGGAGAACCCCAAGCCGAACAAGGGTGAAAAGCCCGATCAAGAGTTGCGCGATGCCTACAAAGAGCAGGCTAAGGCGCTGCTCGAGAAGAAGGAGACTTGGAGACCTACCTGGCAGGCTTTGGGCTTGGAGCCACACCAAGCCGCTAAGAATGGCGGCTTCATTCCTTCCTCTACGCTGCCAGCTTGGTATTCTAAGCATCGGAAGCACGGAGCGCGGTAATCGGTTTTGATGAGACTCCTTGCATTGTTATTCATGGTTTTTTCCCCCAATATTGGGGAAAGTGGTGTTTCTTGCTCTATCTTCTGGTCCATGTTGTTCTGGCTGGATCTGTGTATTATACTCTTGGGGTAGATTGTATACATCTTGAAATTGGCGTATCATTTCTGATCTGGTCAACGGTTACATGAATTTTGTATCAAATAAATCAGATTGTGTAGATTGTGGTACTGGTGATAGAGCTGAACCCAGGATGTTCAGTGATATAGACAAGAAATAATTAACTGGCAATAACGCATCACGAAAGACAGGCTGATTAAATACAAATCACAAGGGCCTCGGCCTATTATACGCTATGCAAAAATGAGAGTGGGAGACCGAAATGCTGAGGAGCAGATAGGAGAGAGGCAAAGCGCCTTGAACTTAAGATGTTGAGAATGATTTACAGTCGGCTCTCGACGAAGTTCATCTCGTGTTGGCCCGGCCACTGGGCATCGGGCCAGACTTGACGCAGTCCTTCCCAAATATGCCTGTGAACAATTATTAGCAGTTATTAAACTGATGTTGGATGGGGATAACGTACTTGACATAAATGATTTCCAAACCATCCTTGACTTCCTGTGGGATATCTTTGACGTCTTTGCGGTTGTGGTCTGGCAGAAGCACGGTCTTGACGCCCGCACGCAGAGCACCAATCAGCTTCTCTTTGATACCGCCGACGGGCATGACCCGGCCACGGAGGGAAACCTCGCCGGTCATGGCAATCTGCGGTGGGACAGGCTTGTTGCTGAACAAGGAGATCAAGGCAATAGTGTGGGCAAGACCGGCAGAGGGGCCATCCTTAGGGATTGCGCCAGAGGGGCAGTGGACGTGTAGGCTGCGGCTCTTCATAATATCTTCATTGGGGTCGTGGGTGAGACCGAGCTCGAAGGAGTGTGCTTTCACCCATGTCAGGGCTACTTCCACAGATTCCTTGAGCACATCGCCCAGCTTACCAGTCAGCTGGACACGTCCATTGCCAGGCATGTCTGCAACCTCGATGAACAGGATGCTGCCCTGCCCACCGGTAGAGTAGGCCACAAGGCCTGTGACCACACCGGGACGACTGTGTTCCTCGGCGATCTCTTCCTCGAATCGCTCGATGCCCAGGATATCCTCTAGGTCATCGGCTGACACAACTGGATTATAATCGTTTAGGCGGCCGGAGTCCCCAGCATCGGCATATTGAACGGCCTTGTACCGACATATAGAGCCAAGCTCCCGCTCTAGATTGCGCACACCCGACTCACGGGTGTACCCGGTGATGGTCTTATCAATAACCTCGTCAGACATATTTACCTGACCCTCAGTGAGGCCGTTAGATCGAATCTGCTTCGGGATCAGGTGTTGTTTGGCAATGTGTCTCTTCTCAACAGTAGTATATCCAGACAGGGAGATAGTCTCCATGCGGTCTAGCAGAGGTGCCGGAATCGTGTCCAGGGAGTTGGCAGTAGCAAGGAATAGAACCTTGCTCAGATCGATAGGGATGTTGATGTAGTGGTCAGTGAAGGTGTGATTCTGTTCAGGATCAAGAACCTCCAGCATGGCGGCGGATGGGTCGCCTTGGAAGTTGGCGCCGCCGACCTTGTCAATCTCATCGAGCAGAATGACAGGGTTTGCAACACCGACCTTCTTCAATCCATTCACAATCAAACCAGGCATAGCTGCAACGTATGTGCGTCGGTGGCCCCGAATTTCTGCCTCGTCTCTGACACCACCAAGGGAGATCCGGTGGAATTTTCGGCCAAGCGAGGCGGCAACAGACCTGGCTAGACTGGTCTTACCAGTACCAGGGGGTCCGACCAGAAGTAAGATAGGCGACTTGTCGCCCATACGCTTGGACTTGAGGATCTGAAGGCGTGTCTCTAACGCGACTCGGTCAGACTCTGACAGCAGAGGGACGTCTTTCTCCACATCTCCAACCGCCGAGGCGTCCAAGTCCTTGGATAGTCCTGAGATCTGGCGTTCAACATCCGAGTTTGTGGACTGCTTCAAACGCAACACAGCCAGATACTCCAACAGTCGCTTCTTGATTCGCTCCAGACCGTAGTGATCCTCGTCCAGCTGCTTCCTAGCGTTCTTCAATGTATCTGGTCCAAGCTGATCCTCTGTGACCTTGGTCCATGGAATTTCTGACAAGTTTTCCAGATAAGTCCGGCAGACACCATACTCAGCGTTGGCAGGGTTCATCTTTCGCAGGCGTTTCAATTCCTTGTCCGCAACCTTCCGAGCTTCGGGACTAAGCTGCGCATCATTCAACTTCTGTTGTAGCTCGTCTACTTCACTAGGCTCTTTCTCTTCGTCATTGCCACGCCCGCCAGGGGGTGTCATGCCGGATAGACCTGAAATTGCACGCTTTGCGAGCAGCTCACGCTCACGGGGGTCAATCCGACTGATATCCATTCCGGAGGAGGGGAATGAAGTCGAGCTAACCGAGGTGACCCGGACGCTACTCTTAATATGCTGTGCCTGTCTGGTGAGGATCTCAACAACCCTCTCCAACCGTTCCTTAACATCCAGTGAGCCGAGGATACGTAGCTTCTCCTCAAAGCTTGCGTCAGATACATCTGCCATAAAATCAGCCAGTTTACCCGCCTGTGTCAATTCTGTCTTTGTGATATAAAGCTCAAACTTTCGGGCAACGAGTGGCGAGAGGCGAGATGAAGCTGCCGACAGCAATGAGGAGAGACGTAGGAGAGTGAGAAGCTCCCGCGAGAGCTGTCTCAATTGCTGGAATAGCTCAGCGACTTCTGCGTCACCTTGGCCAGAGTCTAAAAGTGTAGGAAGTATAATTAGCCATGAGATCTCTGTACTTTTTCTGTGGAAACTAACTGGATTCATCATGAATGAAGACCTCGGCCTCGAAGTATGGCCGCTCTCTCAGGACCTTCTTTATTGTGAATCTTTGCGAGCCTTGGACAAGCAAAAATGGCTCGGCGTAGGCCCGGCGCTGAACTCCGATGACTTTGCCAATGGTTCCGCATCGGAAAAGATCCTCTTTCCGTGCCTGACCGGCGTCAATCGAGTCATATTCCTCCTTTCGCTCTGAGTCGGAATCCTCGCCATCGAGGAGCTGATTTCCATCCCGGCTCAGGAACGGTGAGTCGAGTGGGACACAGCCGAAAGTAATAGTATTCGCATCTCGCTTCGGAGGCTTGTCCACGAGTGACGAAAGAAGATTGGCGAGGTCGGGACGGTTGGCGACTGGGATACGTAGAGTCACGCCGGGTAGCAGAACCGAGCCCTTGGCAAGAGGTACGAGGGGGATCTTGGTGGTTCTACCGTTAGATCCCATCATGTATGGGGCCCTGGTGATGGAAATAGGGTGGCAAAGATGGAGGGGATTAAGGTGTAGACTGTATAAGGGGTGGGAATATGAGGAATATGAGGAATGGAGAAATCGGAGAATGTGGAGAGGGAAAAGGTAAATGAACTAAATGACCTCGGGGGGATGGGGATTCCAGAATCACGTCGATGAGAAGTCCGGGGGAGATAAGTCGCATGTCTTGTAATCTCCACGTCCCGAAGCCGAGGTTGACGATCAATGGGGATCTGAATATTCTATTGTTTAATTGCTTATAGTTTGCATTTTATTATTGAGATCTTCGTTGTATGTTAATTTTACTACAAGTATCCGCTTATTTTTTGTTTCCTAAATTATAGATGTATACCTAATATGCTGTGAGGATATACTTAGGACTTGGAATTACCGGATCTTCACGTGTCCCGTGATCGGAGCTCTCCAAATCCACTTTCGCCTCTTCGCCTGACTTTCCTCGGCTGATTGGTCTCCTGCAGGCAATAGCTTCATACAACATACACCCGTGGACGTCTACTCACATTTCCAACCCTGAATTGTCTATTATTAGGCATACAATTGACTTACCCCTCAAAATGGCCACTCCCGCCCCCCAAAAGACCCAAAAGACCATCACTATCGGCACTCGCAAATCTAAACTGGCTCTGCTCCAGACACACATGGTCCTCGACGCTTTGAAGAACGCATTCCCGCAATATGAATATAAAGTCTTCTCCAAAGAGACCGCCGGTGACTTGAACACCACCATCGCACTGCGGGACTTCACCACAAAGAATCTGTGGACGGAGGAATTGGAGGAATTGATGATCAATGGCCAAGTTGATGTCATTGTGCACTCGCTGAAAGGTTTGATAATGCCTCAATCTCAAACAGTGTAGCTGTTTCAACCGGATGATTGCTGACGACGCTTTTCTTGGAAATTCACAGATGTCCCCACTACTCTCCCCTCTTCCTGCAAGCTAGGCCCTAGCATGCCCCGCGAAGATAGCAGGGATGTTCTTGTGGTCAAACAAGGCTTGCCATACAAGAGTTTGTCCGAGATCCCCGCTGGGTCGGTAGTTGGAACCTCGTCCATCCGCCGCACAGCACAATTGGCCCGGAAATACCCCCACCTTAAGGTTCAGGATGTTCGTGGCAACATTGGCACTCGCCTGTCAAAGCTAGACGCTGAAGACAGCCCGTACACCTGTGTCATTCTGGCTGCTGCTGGTCTGCTGCGTCTTGATTTGGCCGATCGTATCACTCAATATCTGGACTCCAAGAACAGCGGCATGCTCTATGCTGTCGGGCAGGGTGCCCTTGGCATCGAAATTCGCAAGGAAGACACTGTTTTGCAGGACATGTTGGACAAGATTGGTCACCAGGATACTACGTTTTCGGTTTTGGCTGAGCGGAGTCTTCTGCGGACTCTCGAGGGAGGTTGCAGTGCCCCGCTGGGCGTTGAAACCGAATGGATCCAAAACGAACAGGGTTCTAAGCAGCTGCGAATGCGGTCTGTTGTTGTCAGTGTCGATGGCAAAGAGTGTGCTCAGGTAGAATTAGAAGCCGATGTCAACTCTGCTGAAAGTGCTGAGGCCTTCGGGATCACCGTCGCCAAGGCCCTGGTGGCTGACGGCGCTGGAGACATCCTCGAGGCCATCCAGCAGAATAAGACCAAGGAGAGCGTCTCTACTGCTGTTTGAATATTCGGATTCATTTTTACTGTAGCATAGACAGATATACCCTGCTAAAAAATGAAGTGAACGAGTTTTCTTGTCTGGAATAGCCGTACTCGCTTTAGGATATTAAGAATATTCGCCCAAAACTCCGTCTATCATGGCTTTTTTGGACTCTAGTAAAGCAGCTCGGTTCATGGCGGGCATTTCAAATCATCCACGGTTCAGTGTATTTCCAGCACCCTTCGGATTAGCTTCCGTGAACTCGTCCCAATTTCGTGCTTTCATCGTTTCCTGGTCGGCAATGTCGTGGTCATCCTCGTCGACTTGCGGTTTGATGCCGGATTTCTCGCCTCCTCCTTCTATCACATTTCCTCGTCTGTGCTCTTCGTCCAAATATTCTTCGATTGTCATCGTAGGAAGATTATGACCTGGTCGAAAGACTCCCTGTTGCATTTCTGCGCGCCGACCCAGCAACGTAAACGGCTGCATTGGCTTTCCTTTGCTATTCAAGATAGGACCGCCTCTTCCTCCTCTCAAAAGCTGCGACGTTGAAGGATCTAAACGCTCTGAGTAATTTAAACCTCCGATATTGCTTCTCTGTCTAGGATCGTCCGTTGGCGGGGGACGGGGTGGCGCGTTACGCATAGCTGAAAGTATCGATAATTCCTGGATCAGAAGATCTAAGGCCTGGAAGGTCTGATGGGTGTAGAGCTGGAGCTCTGCTAGGTAAAGAGAGCGGATGTCATCGTCGTCGCTTTGCAGTCCAGCTTCGTTGCGAGCGAAATACTTCAAATAGGGTAAGCAAGAGCCCTAAATAATATAGGAAGAAATTTCACATACCTCTAGTTTCTGCTTGAGCTCTTTTTCTTCTCGAAAGCGTGTCACTTTAATTTCCCGTCTAGCGGCAGCATCATTGGCTGGCATGAGGGTAAAAGATGTTGGGTTGGCCATGTATTGCTTGAAGAGCTTCTTATCTCCGTCAGAGAGTAGCAGGTACTCATCCAGGCGCATCAAGTATTTCTCATATTCTTCGAGCGCACGCTTCAAGACAGCCTCACGGTCTGAGGTAGCAGCTCGCTGCATGAGCTCGGCCAAATGGTATTCCAATGTCATGTACCTTGGAAAACAAATCAGCCGAATGGTCAACGCAATACCGAAGTCAAGGTAACGTACTGGACATCATTGGTTGAAATATCTTCCAACAACTCATTAGAGCTATATAGCGACAACATGCTCACTTGACGCTGGCATTCTTGAAATTTGGCAATCGCTGTGTTCACCTCGTCTCTGTAGGTCTCGGAGTTGGTGTCACCCCTCAATCCCAAGGCACGATATTGCTCCTTTGCTGATGCAAATAGAGAGCGAAGGTTCTGTGGCTCCTCCATTTCTGATATTGATCTGGTCTGAGTTGGATAGAAGGAAGGGTATTAGAGATGCTTGAGAAGGGCTCGTCCCCGCGATTTGGATCTGAGTTTTGGAAATGCGATAAGATAAGACCAAGCTGTTATCTGATAAGCCTTTGATAAAGCCCAAGGTAGGTACTTCCATTCGGGCTTTTTCAATTGAGTTCTATAAACTTGTTGCTTTATTATAATGGTAGCTATGTACTCGATTGAAAGGGCCCCATTACTTATAAGGCCAAATATGTGATTTCTATGTCAAGTATATATTGATTAATAGGTTTTTTTTGTATTGATATGTCCATTCCATTCCTACAACATTCTACTCACCTTTGTTTATTCTTTCTTCAGGCGATCGTTCTGTTAATATAATTTCACGAATCTATCTCTTAATTCACTTATTTTATCCCGTAAATATGTCTTTTTGGTCTTGGTTAAACATTGTTGATGGGGCGGCCCGCATGTATACATGAATCAGGCAGGCGTGTGATACTTAGGTCATTTGCAAACGATCTCACTATGTGGGAAAGAAAGAAAATGCAATATAGAACATATAATAAACGACCGAAGGAAGCCGGTTATGCATTTTTAGTAAGCCCACGGTGCCAATCTTGTATAGCCCTCTCAATGCATCTATGGATGTACAAAAATGCGATCTATCACTCTCACTTCACTTATGAGAGATTTACGCCTAAGTAGGAAGGAGAAAAATGCGACTGTATGTCGTTGCTTCTTACCAACTTACATACTTCTTCCGCGTCCCCCGCCCCAAAGGGTTGACTTTTCTACTTCTGTCGGCCTATTTGTTCTTCTCCTTCAGCATTTCATCCTCTTCAACAAACCCTAGCTCAGGAAAAAGTGACCAATATGGAGCAAGAAGACACCGCTTCTGATCTGTCTGGCGATGAGGCTGTGGCCCCGCGGCCGACTGAATCCAGCCGACACAGAGCTCAAAATGCCATGTTCACTGCACTGTAAGTTTCCAATGTATCTTAGCTTCAAGGCCAATTTTGCTGACAGCTCGGAAGGCTCGAAGAGCATGTTGTGAATGGATCAAGCAGCGGCTCCAATGGGGATCATGTTAAACTAGCTGATGCGGAACTTTCAACTGCTCGCTTGCTCGCAAATACAGAGCCCGGGGGCGGAGTCCTGGACCCTCGTGAATACCAAATTGAGCTCTTTGAAAGAGCAAGGGCTGGCAACACAATTGCAGTTCTTGACACAGGGTCTGGGAAGACCTTAGTGGCTGTGCTTTTGCTCAAGCATATCCTCCAAATTGAACTCAACAAACGTGCTAATGGTGCAAAACCCCGTGTTGCCTTTTTCCTGGTGGACAGTGTGACATTGGTCTTTCAACAGTCTGCGGTGTTGAGAAACAATCTTGATCAAAGAGTGGCTCATTTTTTCGGCAATCTAGGACCTGATCTTTGGGACAAGCAGACGTGGAACAAACACCTTGAAAAGTACATGGTGATTGTATGCACGGCAGAGATTTTGAACCAGTCCCTACTGAATGGCCATGTGGGAATTGAACAGATCAATCTCCTGATATTCGACGAAGCCCATCATGCTAAGAAGGAGTATCCGTATGCTCGGTATGCAGCCCATTGTTTAATTATAACATGGAAACAAAAGCTGATATCTATTAGTATCATTCGAGACACATATCTCAAAGCGGACCCCGAAAAGCGTCCTAGGATCTTCGGCATGACTGCTTCCCCGGTTGATGCTAAGTGTGACATCGCGGAGGCAGCACTGTGAGCCCCCCCAGAGTAAAGACAGGTGAGAGCTTCTGCTTACTCTAAATAGCCAGCTTGAAACCCTCTTAGACAGTCGCATCGCAACAACATCGGATCTTGCCCTCTTGCGAAATTTCGTGAATAAGCCAATAGAGGAAGAATGGGTTTATGATAAGCTTCCTCCAGTGTTTGAGACCAACTTGCATGGCATTTTGAAAACAAAGTATGGGGATATGCCCATACTTGAAGGCGCATTTCGATTTGCATCGGTGGCAAGTTCAGAATTAGGGGCTTGGTGCGCAGACCAGGTATGGGCCCTCGCCCTGGCGGACGAGGTGCTACCCAAGCTGGAGGGTAGTATTGGCAGAGTCGATTCTGATACTCAGGATTCTGAAAAGACTTCAGAGGAGATCAAGCGAATTCAAGAAGCCAACCAGCTCGTCAAGGAACATATCACAAACCAGGCATTTATGCCGAGTGACCTCAGCTCCAAAGTCGAAATGTTGATGAGAAAGCTGCAAGAGCAATTTTCGAACTCGCCAGATACCAAATGCATTGTATTCACGGAACGGCGCAATACAGCCAAAGTGTTGTTACAGCTATGCGAAAAAGTGCAAATTCCAAACCTCCGTCCCGATGTCTTGGTCGGGCTTCGCAAAGGAGATGCTCTGGGAATGAATTCTACATTTCGTCGGCAGTTCCTTGTCTTGGTCAAGTTCCGAAAAAGTGAAGTCAACTGTTTGGTGAGCTTTAACATAAAAAATAATAACCCCTTGTCTACAATATCTAACCATTCGCAGTTTGCAACATCTGTCGCAGAGGAAGGTCTTGATATCCCGGACTGTAACCTTGTGGTTAGGTAGGTCACCTAGCATCTAATTCATTCGTGTTGCATCTACTGACCGGGAAAGATTCGATCTGTATGACACGGTTATTCAGTACGTCCAAAGCCGAGGGCGTGCCAGACGCACCGACTCAAGGGTAAGGTCCCCCCAAATTGTATTGCAATTACTTTACTCATTAATTTACAGTATGCAACGATGGTGGAAAGTGGTAATCGCAATCACAGTATGAGACTACAGGAAGTTCGAAGAGCTGAGGTAAGGGCTCTTTCCCAAGTGGAATTGCACTGCAACCGACTGACAGGAGTAGCATCTCATGAAGAATTTCTGCAATATGCTGCCGGATGATCGAAAATTGTACGGAGATGATCATGATGTGGGAGGACTTATTCACGAGGAAGATCGGAAGAGGACATACACCATCCCAAGCACAGGTGCCATGTTGACCTATCGCCACGCGATTGGTGTTCTGACACGATTTGCCAGCTCATTGGTAAGACCCAAAGTTTCCTTAATGAATTTCATCATCAAAACTAACGGGGACAAAATCTCAGCAATACGAAAATGACATCTCGGCATCCGTCACATACATCGTTATGTCAGAAAATGAATCATTTAGCTGTGAGATAATCTTGCCAGAGAAGTCGCCTGTGCGAAGAGTGATTGGATGTTCCGAATCAAAGAAATCACTAGCTAAGCAGTCTGCTGCTTTTGATGCATGCCTGCTACTTCGCAAAAAGAATCTATTGGATGGGCATTTCAACTCTGTCTACCACAAGCGTCTACCGGCGATGCGCAATGCTAGATTAGCCATTACTTCAAAGAAGACTGACCAGTACAGAATGCGTACTAAGCCCTCAATTTGGGCTAGACAACAGGGAACCACTCCAACACGCCTATACGCGATAGTTATTCGTCTCATCCCATCAGAGCCTCTGAATCGAGCTCACGGAAGTATCGTATTGCTGACACGAGAGCGGATCACATTGATGCCAACTTTTCCAGTCTTCTTGGATGATGATATCGAGACAACCGTCCAATCTTTGTGCATTGATGAGTGCCTTAAGGTTTCTTCTGAAGAGCTCAGAATTCTGACTACATTTACACTTGCTGTTTTCCACGACGTGTTTCACAAAACCTACAAGCACGTTGCTGAACAGTTTCCATACTGGCTTGCGCCTGTTCGAGGAGATGTGGACATCAGAACGTCAGCAAGCCTCCTTGACATAATTGACTGGGTGGCATTGCACTATGTCCAAGATAACCCCAAGCTCATGTGGTCCCCTGATATGGAGCCAAAATCCTTGCTGACACGATTCATCTACGATGACTGGAATGGAAAGTATCGATACTTTCCGCTTGCTATAGATCCCAATCTACGCCCTTCAGACCCACCTCCATCCTATGCACCATCTCGAAAGTGGTCAGAGGACATAATGAATTGGTCCTTAAGCTTAAGCAAAAACTCACGCCCAAAATTCTTTAATCGATGTATCTGGGCCCAACCAGTCTTACAGGCAGAGTTGGTTTGCCTTAGGCGGAATTTTCTTGACAAAGCGGCTGAGGAAGAAAAAGAATCTAACTCTAGATGCGTCATTTGCCCTCAGCCGCTGGTTTTATCGGCGGTCAGTTTTGCAACGTTGTGTGTTTCGTCTCACCTAACATGCTAATATGTAACTCAGATTTCCATGCCTGTGGCCGCGACGTGTTTTGTCTTTCCAGCAATTATCACGCGAATGGAGTCTTACCTAATTGCCCAGGAAGCATGTGAAATGTTAGGTCTGGGTGGTATCAAGCTCGAATATGCTCTGGAGGCCTTCACCAAGGATTCGGACAACACCGAAGAGCACCGGAGCTTACAGATTCACGTCCAGCGAGGGATGGGGAAAAATTATGAACGCCTTGAATTACTAGGGGACTCTGTCTTGAAGATGGCAACATCAATCTCGCTCTTCGTTCGAAACCCCGACGATGATGAATACGACTACCACGTGAACAGAATGTGTCTCATCTGCAACAAGAACCTGTTCAAAAACGCCACTGAACTGAAGCTATACGAATACATACGTAGTCGTGGATTCTCTCGGTATGTATTTTTTATTTCGTCCTAACAAGTGAGTATAATTGACAGTCAACCATAGGCATATGTGGTACCCCCCAGGTCTTTCGCTTGAGTATGGTCGGGACCACGCCAAGTTTTTTGCTAGTGAGGGCAAGCACTCCTTAGCCGAGAAAACTATAGCGGATGTTTGTGAGGCATTGATAGGCGCCTCGTTACTTTCAGGAGGCGATGACAATCGCTATGATCTAGCCACCAAAGCTGTGACCGTATTCGTCAACAGTCCGAACCACACGGCAACCTCGTGGAAAGACTATATCTCGGCGTATTGCATTCCCTCATACC